ATGTACGGGGATTTCTGCCTTCTGCCCCTTGGCTTCTATCACTGTAATACTGTTCACACCCCATTTCTGCTGCACACGCACACGCGCGCACACTCATACACACACGCACATACCCACTCACGCACACAGATTTTTCTTCATAGGCAGCAGAAGCATCATCTTGTTCATGCTCATAAATAATTTCCTGCAGCTCAAGTCTGGCCTGGAAACCTGTCTTTCACTCCATGCCATCCACTCCCCCACTCCAAGTACAACTCTCTCTCTTTCTCTCTCTGACTCCCTGCCATCTCCTCCCCCTCTCCCACTACACTGATCCTTCTGTCTCTTCCTCTCTGTCACTACCTCCACCACCATGCTCTCTTTGGCTCTGTGCCTCCCCTCCCTCCAGTCCACCCTTCTTCTTGTACGACGATCTCTATCCATTTCTCCAGTGCTTTACTTGTAAATCAGGAAAACTCTCAACAGCAGCGGAGGGGGCTGGGGTGATCCGCTGGGTCAGAAAACGCATCAAAACCACACTGCCTGGAGCGCATTAGACAGGGTCTTGGCACTGCATCTCAATGCTGTCATGCGATAAAGAGTGCGTGGCACTGGATTTACATTTAGGCCATTGACAGTCAATCTCCTTGTTCAAACAACAACACACTTAAAATGCATCACTAAGTATTTGATGCACCACTGATGCAATAAAACAATATTAATCAGAATGCAATTGGTAACATATCAAATCAGACAATATTATATTGGCAATATTATAAAAGGCTTTGGTGATAAGCCAAGCATAGTTTAAAATGCCAAAGTTCTCAGAAACTTCAGAACTGCACAGGCTTACCACAGCCTTACAAGACCACAGCAAACTGCTACCATCTTAACATCCCTATCACTGTGTAGGAGTTAACAAATATTTAGCCTTCAATTCAAGGTCAAGTGAAACCCAATAGAGACAATAAATCTTTCTGAATCTTAAATGGCCCCATCCCACACTTGACTGATCTTGTGAGGGCTAGTTAGCTCAAACATCTTATTTAAAGCTGCACTAATCAGTATTTTCATATCAACTCTGGTGCTGTTTTTGTGACAAACTGCACAAAAAATTCCTACCTAATTCTGCAGCTCCCCTCAGCTATATATAGCATTTTAGCTCTTTTAGCTCATTGTTGTGGTTTTTAGGCAACTCCACTCTCTCCAACTTTTTTCCTGTAGCAGCAAGCAGGAAACAAGCAATTTTAACTTAAAGCTATTAAAAAAATTTGATCATGTTTGTTTTTTTCTCTTTCTCCACTGAGCTCCAACTTTCACTCTCCCTGGAAGCTTCTACTCTGTCAAAGTTAATCTCATGCCTGCTGTCCTTGCCCCTTTTTGCCCATTCCTCTGTCTCCCTACAACCCCCTTTACTTATCACAAATTTCATGTTTCACTCTCTCTCATTATCTAAATCTTCACTCCAGCAACATCATCTTCTAAAACATCTCTTTCAACTAGCCAACTCAAAGCAGGAAAAATGCTCCTTCCAAAGATAGGTTCTGCATTGTACACCAGAGGAAAACTGTTTTACATGACTTCTCTCTGTGACCTCCCACAAGTAATAAAAACTAGTTTTTGAAAATAGGTTTGCAAATTAAAATGTGTGATGGTAGTATGTCTCTAAACAGTGAATAATGCTATTTTCCTGTATGCATACAAGCTCTCACCTATTTTTGAGCCATAGTGGACTGACATAGCATAATTTTTCTAGGTCAATAAAGCACATTTATATTACATGGCTGCATGACATGGCAGGGTGAATACAAGGAATTTTCAATCGAAACTAAGTTCTGATTTGTTCAAAAACTAAATTGTAGAAATACAATTTAAACTAAACAGACTGTGACGCATTTACATTTGAACAAACTTGTGAAAACATTCTTTTAATGCTAAACTTTTTAAATATTATTAGAATTAAAACATGGTTCACATGGCTATTTAGCACTGCATTGTGCTGTAAAGTAGGTTTGTGCTGGTGCCTGTCATTCAGGCATTGTGCAAGAAAAATTTACTTAAATGATCAGTTTAGGACTGACATTGTTCATATTTCTGCTGTCTTTTTGACCAGATGTCCAACTCTGTATAACCAACGGCTGGATTATCCAAGTCAATCACACCCTGAGTCCCTCCTATGGACTCTTCCCATTGGCTCTGTCACCTATGCACCTCCATCAGATCAGTGAACATTTAATACAAAATAAAACTTTCATCCAGTTATTACATCTGACACAGGATGTTCAGTTTATGATACAAAAAAATCATTAAGCATTTCCTCTCACTATGTTGTAAGCTAAAAGTGACCCAAACCTTGTTAACATGAATAACTCACATTTAGAAGAATCATCCCTGTTATTTCAAATTTTATATACAGAGGTAGACTATAACGTGCTAGATATAATGGCGGCTATTGCACAAAGACTTGACCCTAAAATGGTTGTCTGGCTAACAAAGGCATTGGTTTTTTGAGGCAAATTAATATAGAACAGTAACACAGTGATGATGACAATTACAACACTGCTGTTGATGACAGCAGTAGCTGTCTGCAATGCAAATTTCACCAAAGCTCTACTTTAAGCTTTGCATGGATTTCCTTTGTCTATGAGAGAAAATCCAATGATAGCAGTGATTCCATTGCACTGTGATAAATAAAACTGGTAGTGATAAATGCTGGTGTAACTGCACAGTTACCCTGCATTCCTGGAAGGGTGCACAGATATATGGCAGTTGTGCATGAGGAATGATATCATTATTTCTACTACAACTATGACTACGACTGTCTATGGAAGTATAGTAAGCTATGGTATATTGTGACCACCTTGTTAATGTCAGGAATGTAATGCCCATGAGACAAAGTTACACTATTAGGCAGCTCTGTAATAATAATACCAAATGTACTGGTGCATCCAGCCAGTCAGGGGGAGACAGGGTTGAGAGAGGGAGGTGAGAGGAGGGTGAGAAAGAAATGGAAAGAGGGAGGCAGGTTGGGTCTGAGGATGAGTGTCTGGTCCCTAAGGCTGTGTGTGTGTGTGTGTGTGTGTGTGTGTGTGTGTGTGTGTGTGTGTGTGTGTGTGTGTGTGTGTGTGTGTGTCTCTGTGTGTGTGTTTCCATCAGCGTACTCTCACAGCTCAATAATGATAAATAAGTCAACCTCCTCTCTCCTCCCCTCAACCCCTCTCCCTGCTCCTGTCACATGCACCCCTCCTCTGTTCATCTACCCCCCACTACACTCCCAGTGGTAATGAAGCAACAGTAGGTACTAGCTGACAACTGTGCAGACCAGAGTTTCATCTATATTCATTTTTGCTATAGTGGGCCACCACAGTAAGACCCCTTCTACCTCTGAGAGACAAAACAACATCCATCCATCTCTTTCTCTCCCTCTACCTGTCCACTGTATCTATCAGTCTCACAACCCACCAAAATATTCCTCATTCAGCAGAAATGGCTGACCATGTAAGAACAGTGCAAAGAAGAATACTATATATATTATGATGTGATATGGGAGGCACTTGGCTGTACATGATTTGATGAAAACAAGATCACAACACAGAATGATCAGTAACGATCAGTAAAAACTTCAGAGTAACAGCCAAAGGCTTAAAATAATCTCTAGGACACCATGGAGGAAGCTGCTTCTCTCCAAAACAAACATCACATACATGCCTAAAATTTGCCAAAGAGCAGCTTGACACTCTACGATGCTACTGGGAAAGTGTTTTGTGGACTAATGAAACTAAGGATGAATTTTTTGGGAAGAACATGCAGCACTATGTATGGTGTAAAATGTTACTGCATACGAACATGAAAACATTGTCCCAAAGGTTAGGTAGGGTCATAATTTGGGACTTTGCTGCCTCTGAGTCTGGACAGTCCACCATCATGGATAGGAAAATGAATTCCCAAGTTTATCAAGGTATCTTACAGTATAATGTCAGGATGGCTGTCCACCTGCTGAAGCTCAATAAAAGTTGGGCGATGGAGCAGGACAATTACCCTAAATATCAAAGTAACTTTAATAAAGACAGACTTCAAACAAAGAAAATCCACCTGTTGGTGTGACCCAGTCAGCCCAGACCTTAACCCAGTAGAGATGATGTGGAATGACCTGAGGAGAGTCACTCAAACAAGACATCCTAAGAATATTTTATATAAATGTTCATTTACATGATCACAGTCTGTTTCAATAAAAGTGCTTGTGACATTTCACATGTGGCTTTGACAACTGAACATTTAGCCCACTTTGTAAAAATACAGAGATATGGTATCATGTATCGCCATTCATCCTAAAAATATTAAGATATTGCCAAGCCCTAAAACAGAGGCCCACACCAAAATAAGACCAGTTTCTCCCAGTTTCCAGTTTCAGTCTCTAAACGTCAGTAGCATGATGCCAACATTGTTACATTACCTGTTTATTTCTTAACAAATTTTAAGACACAGCTTTACTTTCTGTGACGGACTAATATAAGAAGGGAAGTATAATTAAATAGAAAAAGAGGAGAAAAAAAACAAAAAAGAAAGCCAGCAAAAAGGAAAGAGCTACGTGTATTCCTGCTTGTGCTTCTGCTCCAACTACTGTATGTGTGTGTCTGGAGGGTCCTAATTGCTGCTGAGGTCAGGCTGCTGAGCAGTAAAGGGTTGTGTTTGATGCAGGTAAGAGAGTGTGTGTGTGTGTGTGTGTGTGTGTGTGTGTGTGTGTGTGTGTGTGTGTGTGTGTGTGTGTGTGTGCGTGCGTGCGTGCGCATGTGTGTGTGACTGCTCTGCATGCCCTTGACTTGCAGCTGGCAAACAACGCTTTAGGCTCCCACAGCTGCCTCATCATTACTGTTCACAGGGATCCCCTGCCACACACTTGCGCATACACACACACACATACTCACATACTCGAAGGCACACACAGTCAGGGAGACTTAGTCACAGCTACACAGGCACAGACACAAAAACAGACACACGCAGACATACACAGAGACACTCACCCCTTCCCGCAGGCTCCTCATTAAGCCAGTGTAGGCGGCAGCGGGAACGAACCACAGTCCCTCTGGGGAGCCTCTCTTCTCTTCCTGATAGAGAGGCATAGAAAAGACAGGGAGAAAGGGTGAGAGGAGAGAGGAGGGGGTATGGATGGGGGGGCGGGGGCAGTGGAGGAGTAGAGTAGGAGTGAGAGAAAGGCAGAGAGATAACATGGAGGAGATGCAAGTAGAGAGAAGTGAGAAAAAGGGCAAGAAAGGGCCAAGTTGGGGAGGGGAGATGGGAGCAAGAGGAGCCGTGACATCTTGATTACTTGGTTACCGTCTGTGTATGAACATGCTTTCATAACTATTTAAATTCAGCTGATTCTTTTTCTTCAAAATATTGATTTTACTTAGAAACACAGTTTGTGTAAGCATTATACATAATGTTTTCTTCAACTTTTCTTGTTGGTGAACTCAAACATCTCATTCTTATTTTATGTAAGAGGTAGAAAAAAAGACTTAAAAGACAAAACGTTCACCATACTCATGAAAGTTTTCATTTAACATTCAAAAATTCACAGCACTCCAAATAAATATTTTCATTATCAATGAATCTCTCAGCTACTTTATCAAATAGTCCATTAAGACATTATGACTGGTGAAAATAGTGAAAAATGTCCATCACAGTTTACCAGAGACCAAAGTGATTTAGATTGCTTGTTTTGTCTAACTAACAACTAACAAAAACCCAAAGATATTTAAATTCCAATTATATGAAACTGTGAAAATTAATATTGAATGAATGTGTACTTCTTTTCCAAACAAAATACATTATATATACTGCCATACCAGCACTGTCATTACATTCCACAAAATTCAGATTATTTCAACCAGAATTTTAAATGTTTTATGAAACATTGCTATGTTCCATTGCTACTGTGCAAGGCTCCAGGCTATATCTAACCTTGAGGATAAAGACAGCACTAGAGGCTATAGCTAATCGTTGTCATTGACTGGTGCTGCAGAAGAACAGAGGACCAAAGCAGATGATTTTACTGGGGGACACTTTAAAGGCCATTCCAAATGAGTCCAATAAAACTGTTTCTCCTGACATTAAATGGGCAAAGTGGGTTCACCTATCAGAATGAGTTAAAATTCTGTTTAGGATTACCAGTTGTAATGAAGATATAGCTACCACTGATGCTGTTCGGACGACTTAAATATTGTGTATTATTGTATTCAGTGAATGGTTTCAACAACATGTGCTGTAAAAGATGACTCAGAGAATTGAATTAGTATGATTTTTTCACCATAACCAACTGTACCCACCACATGGGAATAGTAAGTTTTATGTGTATGTTTTTTGTGCTTGAAAAGGTTATAAGTTATATCAAATCTCGACAATGTGTTGTCTTAACTGTATGTACTGATGTACAGTACAAAGTTTAGCCACTGCGAGTGAGCCACAGACCATACTGTGGTACATGCCAGCTTCACCACAGTGTAAAGTGTAAAGAGTTTTTTCTACAATTAAGCAAAATATGTGGATCTTAGAGCTCTACCAGAGATACACTTTGGTAGCATATTAACCATAAAGTCCATGAAAATGTTTATAAACAAATAAGAGAATCTCCTCTATCTATTCTAAAACTAACATCCAGCATAGGGACTTTGCAACACAAGTAATCTGAGCTCTTCTGTGCTTCAGTTAAAACTCTGGGAGCAGCTTTCTGTATAAGTTATAATTGTATTACAGACTTTTTGGACCCTAGAGCAAAATACTAGAGTTGTTAAGCACTCTTGTTACACAAGTATGCAGTCATTTCTTCCAGGGAGAGAAAGGAGAGGCCTGAACTTTTGGATTTTCTTCAGGCAAAATAAAGCTGACTTTACCCTTGAAGTACAAATATATTTAATGGTTCAAAGCTGTTACCAATGCATTGAAGTAAATCCCTTTATTACTCCTCAATAAAACCCTCATTTACTTTATTACACCTGACACTTCATTCACTAAATAGTGGAATTACTCAGATCAAGAACACTTTGTCACCCTAAAACTTTAGTCACAGTGAAAACAAGAATTACCAATCTTACCAATCAGAATCTCCCCCTCCTGAGTTACAGTTTGGAATAATAGTCAAGGGTGTTTTTGTAAAACATTATGATGTCACAGTGAAGTTGACCTTTGACCATTTGGATATAAAATGTCACCATAATCGTGTCATAATTAGCGTATGAATTTGTGAGTTATGGCCAAAAACGTGTTTTGTGAGGTCACTGTTACCTTGACCTTTGACCACCAGAGTCTAATCAGTTCATTCTCGAGTCAAAGTGGACATTTGTGCCAAATGTGAAGAAATTCCCACAAGGTGTTACTGAGATATCACGATGGACGGACAACCTGAAACATAAACATAATGCCTCTGGCCCTGGCTATCACTGGCAGGGAGGCATAAAAACCCTTCCCACACTGATTTTATGGGTGCCCTGAAGAAAAAAAGATTTTTCAAAAATGTCCTGTAAAAAAGAAAAAATATATCTTTAATTTAGCAATATTTATTTTGGTACTAAAACTAACTGACAAACATTTACACTTAGCACTTAAGGTGCCAATGAACAACTGAACCATATCTCTCAAGGAGGGAAAGAATATTATTTGTTAGGAACACAATGGCATCAATGGAAAAACACTGATGAGATTTTCGGTGGCTTCAGGAGAGTAATAAGTGTAATCAGCCAGAGTGATTGATTTTGAAGGTTATCCATCACTCGTGAAAATAAATATCTTATACTTAATCAACTTGCCTGCTTAGATTGAGGTTAACCAGAAATAATTTGGGATCACCTCTTCTAATGAAGTCAAATTAGGTCTACGGTCTGCTCCAGTCTTTCTCTTGGCTTTGCTGGGGGTCAATTCAGTTTAGTCAGCATGTAAATTTAAACACTACTACCAAATGAATGAGCTCAGTTTCATTCCTTTCATTCAAGGTTGTTCTTTTTCACTGATGTCTTCGGATCTTTTCTTGCATTTGGCATCATTCATTTTGACTCATTAACTCCAAAGAAAGCAGTCATTCCACATTAATTACTCAAGAGCTGGGAAAAGAAAGATGATTTTCACTATCAACATTTAAAAACCCATCTCTTGGTCCTGATGGCCTAGAAGAGTAAGGTGCATACTGTGCAAACACAATGTTATGGGTTGGTTTGAACATTATTTGCACAGCAAACTAGAGGTGAGCAACTTTACAGTTTGCCAGCGTACCATTGTTTGAGGTTGATAGTTCTCACAGCATGTAATAATATGAACCAATCAATGAATTCAATGATTTTTTCTGATTATGTCATTCACAGGTCTAGTATGTAGTAGTAGGCCTCTGCAACATTGGGAGTACTTGTCCGAGATTTAATTGAAGACACTGACACACTATATGATAGATTAGATTAAGCATGTTTGATTGAAATCAGAAGTCTGAGAGGCCTGGCCAGACCACTGATTTCTTCTAGTATGGTCATCTTAAGTGACATACAAAACAGAAAAATGCCAAGTTCAGTACCCTAATTATGCTAATAATAAGACATCAAATTATGAGGATTACCATCCCAAAGATTTTGCACAATGAGTGAGTAAGTGACTGCTACAGAAAATGGCACACATTCTCTCCATGCAATTAGCTGGACCCTGATTGATTTTTTGTCAGTATGAAACATACTTTTTGTTTTATTGTCCATCATATCACAATTTTAGATATAGGTTTTTTCCTAAAACGTCTGCAGTATATCGTCATTTGTTTTCTACACAAGTGTTTCACCTAGCTCAATTTGTGTAAGATGATTACCAACAGCACTGAATTGTGTTCATATTTGTCACATTTTGACATGTATGAAGGTGTGTTATAATTGTTCTTTCACTCTTCATTTTATTGCTCTTGCTTGTTATGTTTATAGTGTTTAGTAGGGCCATGTGGGTTGGGCACCTTTTGGTCTATGACACTTTTAAATAAAATTACCTTACTTTACCTATATTCCTTATTTAAAAGTGCCCGTGTTCATAAAGTGCAGTCATACTCAATAAACTGTTGAGAGGGGATGCATTTCATTTTTGTTGTTGGTTTTGAAAATGACTGCACATTCGTATGTTCACAGTAGTAGCATTAGTGGGGTTTTTTGTCTTCACATCTCTGCATTAGCCTGAATCTTTTGTTTCATTTCCCAGCTAGTTAGTCAGTTGGATTTTCACATAAACCAGTGCAAAAAGACTTGTACCAAAACTCAGACATCATCAGAAACCTTTATAAAATGTCACAGCCCACCTTCACTATTGGCCTGTCTAATAAAAGAAAAATACCAGAAAATAACCTTTAAAAGGCGGGCGGGGAAAGAATACTCTTGTCAAGTCGAGTCTACCTGAGATGCAATGAGGTAGAGGAACTCTCCAAGTGGTGGCAGCAGGAACTGCTTTACTTTACTATTTCTCAGATTATCCCTCAATAGGTCTGTCAATGTGGACACAGCCTGAAAAGAGAAAAGAGAAAGCAATACAGTTTTATCAGCTCTTCTGTTCTTTTTTGTTGCAAATTAAAAAATGGAAACAGACCTAGGAAACTAGGCTCTATAAAACTGAAATTTCTGACTAGAAAATACGCCAGAGTTTAGTCAACATTTAATGATTTTATGTATCTTTAAGAATCTTAATTTCTCTACAGTGTGGAAGGTTTTCATTTCCTTTCACTCAGTATATTTCAAAAACCCATGCTTTGTGGGAATGGTTGTATCTGCATGAGTCCAGAATGAATACATCTGGTCACAGTGCCTATAATATAATACATCCTAACACAAAACCATATTTGTTTAGTATTTGCATTTCAGCTAACCAGATTACAGTTGGCTCTCTGCAGTAACCTGATTTCCTAAACATCACAGGTCAAAGAGGCCACTGATTTCAAACACTGATTTCTTCTATAAAAACAAAAGTTAAACTGATAAATTGACCAGGACAATATCGGCCAAAATTAGCTTATTCCAGATATACCAATATCGCTGCATATGTTGGCCATTAAGTAACAATAAATGCCAAATAAGGTATGTGATCATTTAGAAACAGTGTCTCCATTATATAGTTTGTTTATCAGAGAGTACTTACAAGTTGATTTTTACGCAGTTAAATGCTCAGTTGTTTACTTGGTCACAAACAAAAACAACTGATCAAGGGAATACATATCAAGGTTGCTTATGTTGAATGTGTTATAAGTATTATTGGCCAACATATAATGATGACATTTTTTAAATCCTCAAATATCTATATCAGTATTGGCCTCAAAGTTCCAATACAGTTGGCTATGGAAGAAACCTGATTTTTTGTGAACATTTACTAATAAGTGTATCTTAAATAAGTAAAGTATTGAAAGTAATGCTATGAGAGTAGTGTGAAGGGGTAAAAGAATATCTGTAGCAGTGCACCCTTATTCAAAATAATAAAATCCAATGTTGGAATAAAAGTTTAACAGACCGTAAAATAATGTGCTTCTGAGTAGTAATGAGTAGTAATGAGTAGCTTCTAGAGGTCTAAATAAGTTAGTTCCACACCTAAACTGTTAACATAATTCAGTCACATGTGCTCTCTCATCGGGCCTCGGTTTCCTGCTCTGACAAAAAAAACAATCATCAAAAATAAAAAGACTATATTTTGGGGTGAAACTATTGCAAACTTTTTGGATATGACGAAAATATGAGAGACTACTGAGAGGTCAGACTAAAAGCATCACAGGTAAAGGATAAGTTTTGTAGACTGGTTTGGGCTGAACCACCTGTAGCTCAACATCAGCAAAACAAAGGAGCTGATGGTGGACTTCAGGAGATCCAGGACTCCTGCTACTCCTCTTTCCATTAGGGGAGAGATGGTGGAGATGGTAAGAGTGTACAAATATGTGTCCACTTGGAGAGCAAGCTGGACTAGACCAGCAGAAACTCTACAGGAAAGGCCAGAGTTGGCTCTCTTTCCTGCTTTCCTTCATCTTCTGTGGCACCATGCTGCAGATGTTTTATGAGTCTGAGGGTGGCCGACACCAACAGACTCAACAAACTGATTCGAAAAGCCTGCTCAGTCCTGTGGATGGAGCTGGAACTTCTGCATGTAGTCGTGGAGAGGAGGATGTTGTCAAAACTCTCTATCATGGACAACGTCTCCCACCCTCTACTCAGTGTTCTGGTTAACCAAAAGAGCATGTTCAGTCAGAAACTCAGAATGACTAAGTGCTCCACTGAACATCCAGTTATACAATTCTATCTGCACAGCTCCATCAGTACAACTAAACTCTTTCAGTTTACCTTTGAACAATACTGTTAATTTCCCAGTAAATTTGTACATTTGCATTTGTACATCTTTCTATTCACTTACTGTGTATTTGTTATTATTATTAGTATTCCATAGTAGTTTCATAGTAGTGTTTACTTTTTTACTTATTTACTTCCTCTTTCCAAATTGTGTGTTGTGAAATTGTAACAAAGCAATTTCCCTGTGGGGATCATTAAAGTTTTTCTGATTCGGATTCTGATAGAGTGAGAAACGGAGGATGAAACACCAGTGAGAAGGAAGATGAGGAGGGAATGCATAAAATGGAAAGAAAAAGATGAATGAAGAAGAGAAAGATGGAGAAAAGAAAAATGGACTCGGAAAGAGGGAGAGCATTAAAAAGAGCAGAACAGCAGCAACAACAATCTCAGTGAAAACCACTAAAATGCATACACAAACTTGCACACACACACACACACTGAACTACACAGTAAGGGACACATGTATAAATGTATACACATACATTCATATTCATAGCATTAAGTAGATGCACACACATAACTAGATACACAAATTCATGCAATCATATGCACACCAGTCTCTCTCACACACACACAGAGAGAGAGAGAGAGAGAGAGAGAGAGAGAGAGAGAGAGAGAGAGAGAGAGAGAGTTAAGTATATGCAGAGACAGCCTTGCTGGCTCGCTGCTTCTTGGCATTAGCATTACTGCCAGCTTCCCCCCTCTGTGATCTGATGCAAGTTCTGCCTCACTCCTCTATCTCTCCCTTCTCCACTTTTTCTTTTTCCATCTCTCTGTTCTCTCTCTTCCCTCTGTTGTTTTTCTCCCTACTTCTGTATTTTCTTCTGCTGTACTTTGAATGGCCCTCTATGTATGTATCACATAATATCTTCACTCACTCACCTACATCTTTCTCTCACACTTGCTTGTTTTTCCACTGTCTCTCACCTTCTGTCTCTCTTTCTCATTGTAGGGTGAGAAGTGGTAACAGTCTGTTTGTCATGTTCTCTCTCGACATCTTTCCCTTTCCCTGAGGAGTTATTCTTTCCTTTTATATTTGCCCAAGAACCGTAGTGTATCCTCATGCTGAGCCATCTAAGAGCATAGTACGGTATCAGTTTGCAACTTGAATCCTGAGTAGGTCTAAGCATTATTGCTAATATACTCTGAGATTAGGGCAGAATGTTTTAGTTACCCTTATTCAAACATATACACAGATGATAAACTCATACCATGCTGTGTCAACGTTAACCCAGTATGTTAATGGTGCACATGTGCTGTTGAGTTTCTGCCTATTTCCTACATGCTCTGTACTGCTGTCCTCTCCCTCCCTTCCTGAGTTTAGTTTCTCTGGTGTGTTTGAAACTAGCCACACAGCTGCTCTCAGGCAGAGGGTGCACACACCACTATTTTCCCCTAGAACCCATTGTCATTATCTCAGCATCAACACTCCCTCAGATCAAATGATGCACATGAATGCACACACACAGAAACACATAAACATATGCACTCAATTTACATGCATAAACAACACTAAATAATTGCACAGAGAATAAGAAGACATACCAACACAGCACCCAGAAGTTTTGCTCATATGCACACAACTATGACAGATTCAAATAGTGCACATGAGCAGTCACTATGTGTCTGCACTTGGGACAGCCAGATGTGTAAAGAAAGAATACAGAGGGCAGGTTGGTAGATAATGAGAGATTTAAAGAGGAAACTTCACATGACTTTACTGATTTAACAGCTAATACAAGGTTTGTTTCTGCTGAGGTGAGAGAGGAGACTGGTATGTGAAGCAGAAGTAACACTCTTATCTTCAACCACCCAGCTTTCCTCCTAAATTTTTATAATTTACCAAATTAACATGCTAGCTTTTTACTGAGATGACCGAAGATTGACCTTTGCAAAATGTATATATGTTCTCACTGTGTCATGACAGATATGACATACTGGGTGTCAATGGTAAAACAAAATGTATAGCTCAGCTATACAAAGCAAAAATATTTCCTGTATTTAAACAGTTTCAGTAATGAATCAAACACCTAATTTAAGAGTTGTTGAATATAGATTAAAGCAGACTCTTGGAATATCTTCAACAGATATCTCCAAGAAACAACACAACTACATTTTCAGTTTGACCATAAGCATACAGTATACTGTACAGTATGTTTTGAATTGAATGCATTTTATCAAGATCCATTAGTTGTCTGATATTTGTACAATACAAGTGTTTTGAACTCTCATTCTTACTTTAAAGAGGTATTCACAAATGCTTTGAGTAGTGTTTTCCTGGAGCCAGTGCCCTCTGAATGCATGTTCCTAAAGATTGCTGTGAGCTTTTAGAATGCATTAAGACCCCATATCCTCATGAAACAACCTGCACAGTATAAGCTTTAAGAGGATAAACCACTGTAAAAGCCACAGAAAACTTTATAAGTGATGATAAGTGAAGGGGAAAATGTTATCTAGTTGGTTTCGAAGGCACAGCTTCCCTAAGTCACATAAGAAAAGCAGTAAGCTTGCATTAGTAATATTAACCCAGAAAATGTTATTCTTATTTACTTCTATTTGAGAAGAGAGACAGAGGGAGTGAGGGACAAAGACAGACAGACTAGAGAGAAAAGAGAAAGCAGCAAACAGACAGAAAGCACAGAGTAAGACAGAAAGAGAGAGAGACAGAAAAGTTGTTGTATGTGTGTGTGTGTGTGTGTGTGTGTGTGTGTGTGTGTGTGTGTGTGTATGTGTGTGTGTGTGTGTTGGGCGGAGGGGTAGGGGGTGATCGAAGCATATAGCAGTTACCATGGTAACTAAACCCAGCCCTGACACTCCAATCAGCAGGACTGCAGCAGGAGAACCCCTGCTGAGACGACACACACACACACACACACACACACACACACACACACAGGAAAATGTAAGTATATCACTATAACATAAGAATACGCACAAACATACATACACACACACTAATACGCAAATGGAACAACACAGGCACAGAAAGTACATACACAGGATCCCACAAAAACATTTCTCAAAAAAGCCCATGCACACTTACAAACACACCTACACTAGCACGCACGCACACACACGCATGCATACACACACACACACACACACACACACCATACACACACACACACACACACACACACACACACACACACACACACGCACACACACACAGAAGCCCTGCTGAGTCTATAGGTGGACACACACATGGTCATAGACACAAACAGGCACACAAATATACACAGGCACAAACGTACAGCTTTGTCCTTCTTTTAACAATTTGTCATCCAACGGAAGCTGCAGGGAAGTATGGAGGGTAGCAGAAAAAAAAACGTTCCGCCATTTGTCTTTAACAACAGGCGCACCGAAAAAACACTGCTATGCCACAGTCAGCCATTTTGTAAATCTCCGTGACGACTTAGTAGCAGTAAAGTGTCAGAACAAGTGGAGAAAGAGAGAAGAAAAAGACAAACCGGGAAAGGGAGCGCATGTGGAATCAGAACTGCTGTAGCCGGATCGATTTCATTCAGAATAAACAGATGTGATTGAGAAGACGAAGAGACAAAGAAGAGTAGAGAGGAGGTCGAAAACAGAGACAGGAAAAGGGTGTTTAGATCTGTTCAGGATGAAAGGATCAAATAAAGGAGAGCGGCTCCAGACCTCACCACCATACTAAACTGCTTTTACGTTGAATTAGTTCAGCACCACACTGTCTGAATGTGTGTGTGTGTTTGTATGTGGATGTGTGTTGAAGGGGGCTCAGTAAAGCATCTGAATTGTCCATGTGTGTCCGTCTAAAAGACTTTGCAAGTGTGTCCTATTACTTTACAGCACTTTTTCTTTGATGATTATGGGTTATAAGACTGATGTAGTTACATTTGTCAGTTTATTAGGAACAACTAGATAAAACTAGTGAAGACTAATACAAATAAATTCTTCATGCAGGTTACAATGTTCAGTTTTTGTTGAAACTGTCTTGTAATTGGACTGGATAAAATAAGAGTCACCACAAACTAAATCTTCCAAAGTGACCATTAAGTTGAATGAAGTCCTCTCTGAAACAGCTTCAACAAAAACAAAACATTATATTCTTCATGAAGATAGTATTTATTGCAGGACTGCAGGGGGGAGAGAGAGAGAGAGAGAGAGAGAGAGAGAGAGTGAGAGAGTGAGAGAGAGAGAGAGGGAGGGAGAGAGAGAAAGAGAGAGAGAGAGAGATGTTTTCAGTGTCTCTGAGGCTAATGAAAGACTTATTGTCTTGTAGCTTTAATGCCACCTACTGGTACACACTAGTACTATAAAGTTAGAGTGGACAGAGACAACCACATCCATCCATATCTTGTGGTAAAGGAAATTTTCCCCTTTATGTCAGGCTTCAGGTTTTTCATTATTGGTGACATTTGTACCTCTAAGATGAAATAATGTCCAAACAAAAATTATAATTTCTGAATTACAAAAAAAAAAAAAGATGCACAGAGCAAAATTAACCAGAACTTACTATAAATAAAGCAACAATTATACATACTGTATGCAATACTGCACTCATTATTCATATGTTTTATGTATCTTCTTATGCATAGATGCATTCATCCTTTCTGTGATATGCATATGGTGGGCTCCTGCTGGTATATACAGCCATCACATGGTGCAAACTAGTACTGCAGGCTTGAGTCCTCAACATGTTTAGCAAAGGTTTAGGAATACCCCTGTTTTATTGTTAGTTATTAAACAGTTGACTTTAAGCATTTGTATTGCTTTGGAGTAAAACTGACAACATTTTTTTAGAATGATTAGGTTATACTTTTTCTAAAATGCCAGTGTTGCTCCTGTACTTGTAACTCCAGTCTGAATGAAATTCACCAATAAATGTGAACTTGCAGTGGAAACATAGAAAATTGTGTGTCCTCCGATTGGAAGACCTGTGTGTGTGTGTGTGTGTGTGTGTGTGTGTGTGTGTGTGTGTGTGTGTGTGTGTGTGTGTGTGTGTGTGTTCAGGACCTCAGAAACAGGACTGTCCTCTCCAAGTTCAGTACAGTTCAGTGCCAGTAGACCCATCACTCTGAGAACCTTGCTCCGTCTGTAAAACATTTTTTTATTTCCATTTAATAAAAAATGTGACAAGTGTTGAGTTTGATTGTATATCAACACAGAACAATCTAAAAGTATTTTCCAATGAAGAAACAGTCCTAATTAAATAGATCACTGATAAGAACAAGTTGTTGTCAGTTTCCAGTTCATGTCTAAAGCCTGTAAACTCAAACGAAACAAAGAGCACCAGATCTTTGTAAACACCCACTTTGTTTTAGCTTTCATAAGAAACTATGTGTCTGTGTTAATAGCAGTAAGTAGGAAACACAGTTGTAAAAGAACTGTAAAGAACAGGGAGAGAGGAGAGTGAGCAAAGAGACATCTTTGTGGGTATGCCATGTTCCAAATGCTTGTCTGCCCCTAATGTTTGTTGCTTTAGTGCAGCCAGAAAACAATTTTGGCTGTTGGCTGAGTGCTTTTTTTTTTAAAGCAGTTTTTCTATCATAGTGCAGGTCTGTCACATCACTTAGATTTTGAGTATCTCAGTGGCTTGTAGTTCATCTCCAAGAGTGAGAATTTTTTTTTGTTTTTTTACTATGTATTGGTAGAAACCACTTCTCCAACATTACCGCAGAGCTGCACAATATTCTCCCTAGTATAAAGAGAATTAAAAGAATTGGAAACATAATTTGTACTTACACATCCCAGTTAGGAGCTTGTCGTAACTGCTGCATCAAAACTGGAAGCTGAATGTAGGAGGATGTAGATTGGAGAGACAGATATAGAGAAAAAGCAGAAAGTCAATTTGTGAGAACTGATATGTAACAGTAAAACAAGGATTTTAGATTTATTATGCCTTTTAATAAGCTTGATCAAATTTGATGTTTGTAAATGTCATATATATTTAAGATATATATGTTCTCAAGTATTTCAAAGTCCAATAAAAGAGAAGTCCTTTTGTTTGTTTGCCCTGAATAATTCAATGGGACTATGACCTTGTCACTGCACTTATGACTCCCACTTGACTAACGACCAGTTGGGAGCAATGGCAAGAAACCCATGCATGTTAGATCTTCCTGATGAAGCTCTTTATTTTTTCCTAGGTAAAAATAAATGGCTGGCATGTACATGACAGAGGGTACAAAACTAAATTCATAATTTATTATGTTGTGCTAGAGTTTACAAACATACAAACACAGAAAATGAGGTTATTTTACAACCTCAGTTTCACTCAGCTAAGAGCAAGGACTCCCACACTGCCTTACAATGTTATGGTCTGAAATCTCCCTCAAACTGCAAAAATAAACCCAGCCAGTAGTGATGCAACAATATTTCAACAGGGATCCTCTGTAAATCCATGTTTTCCTACCAGTGTTGAGTTAATCAGCCTGTTAGCAATAACTTTATGTCCAGCCACACAGCAGAGGTAACACAGCAGGTTGAGTTTGGAGCGAGTGGCTGTGGAGGGAGGAGCAGTAGCAGTGGAGGACGAGGAGAGAGGAGTGGAGGGATTGTGTTCTTCAAGGGATGAACAGAGCTGTAAGAGGAACACATCCCACCCTTCATCACCCAGGGACTGCAGCTTCTCAACTAGTGGAGTGGAATGGAGCGGAGTGGAGAAGAGAGGAGAGGGCAAGTAACCATACACTGAGACCCTTTGAATTTTCTCTGTACAAAACTTCTTAATACTGACTCAAAAACAAATGTACCTGAATGCGCTGGTACACAAAGGGTTTTAGGATCGAATCGCACAGGAGGACTCTTAAAAATCTGGTAAACAGAAAGAGAACAATATAAAGTCTAAATTCACATGTAACTATTTTCCTTCCTCCCTGTTAGCAATGTATGTATGCAAGCTTTTTACTGAACTGAAAAGTTAACATACATATTTGATACATATTTCATTGTTACCATTACAAAAATAATACAAATTTACTTATACAATTTAATTGTTTGAGGAGGTTATAATAAAACTGGAACAGCAGAAAAGACACAAGGACACTGAAGATCATTAAAAGTAAATAGGTGTAAAAATAGATGTATTTTAAGTATCTGAAAACACTCAGAAATATGAAAGAGCCTGTGTCCGATATGTACCTTGGGGTTGTCCATGATTGGGGTGACAGTCAGATCAGAGTCAGTATGGAGAAGAGCTTTCACACAGGATGCGATGTCAGTACCAGTACTGGCCTTGGAGCACGGAAAGGAAAGACAGGAGAGAAGAATAATCAACCTCAGCAAAAGTTGACTGAAGTACAATAGCTAAGTTGCCAGTATGCCAGTTAACCATGTTATCATTATTAGAATGAATCACATCTAACTGCTGTTTGCAGATTTCAGCATGTATGGTGTACCTGAGGTACAATGTTCTGGTTCGGAGAGTCTGACATACTACAGCTCTTTCTTGAGTTGGCACGGGAGCTAGAAGAACAACAGGAAAAGAATATTAAAATATCATGCAATAATATAATACATACAATATAATTTATATATTTTCACATAAAGAATTTAGAACAAGCAGCTCAATGATTAACCTGGAAAACAGGAATAAGTCTGTGACCCAGGAAAACCCTGGCAGACCAGGCAGACCGGCAGTAGATGGACTGAACTGAATACCTGAGCAGAAAAATGGCCTCAGTGTTGTCCTCATCCACACCACTCTTTGGCCTGAGCGCTGATACGTTATCTGGAGGAAGAAGCACACAAGATACTGAATCTGATTTTCTAGGGGATGTTGCTTTATCACACATATGTCTGGGACACATGCCTAGTAAAGGCCACACAGGTGAAAGACTGAGCACACATTTTAATCAGAAATTAAATCTGCACAATAGGAACAATAGCAAAATCCAAAGGTTTGCAGTAGAGAGGGAAACAATAGGATAGAACAAAATTGGCTTATCTAGAAAACCAGATAACTACAGCCATGTTCATGCACACAGTTCAAACACAGAAAAATAAGGTGGTAAAGGAATGAAAACCATGCTAAATAATCTTTCTTTATGCAGCACGAGTTTGCTGATTGTGCCTAAAAAGTTACACATTCTCACTGCTGCTGCTGTGAAACAGTTTTGCTTATGGGTGTGACGATGGTGGTTGCTTCCAATAAATACAGTATTTAATGTCCAATCAACAACCCTTCATATCAACCTGTCACACATACAAATATGGTCCACATGAACAGAAGACATACATTATGGCCATCATTTAAACTCTCATGTCTAACCTAAAACACATAAACATAATCAAACACAGACATCAGTGAATGTGTTACCTAGTTTAAATGACTTATGGGGCTGCAGTGTATAGCATAACTGCTGGGCCCGAGTTAACTTGGGTTCATCTTCTACTTTTGCCTGCCCCTGCCCTCTTCTCTCCTTTCCCAGCTCCCTGTCCAAGTCCTGGCTGTTCCTTAAAACTCCACAGGTAGTGGATCTGACAACTTGTTGGCTATCAGTCCGTCTGTCTGTTGTTGCAGTTGTCCTCTGTGATGAGATCAGTTTCTGACAAGTCCTATGGGCTGGCTGGGCGATGGCTGAGTGGCTGTTCAAACACTGATCTGCCTGTGCTGGACGTAAAGGGTCAGGAATCCTTGTGTGTCTGTAGAGGTATTGAAAGAACACATACTATTACCAACTATTCAACAGAAGGAAAAGATTAGGCTGGATTTGAACAGCACTTTGCCATCTACAGCTACCATTAATGTGTGCATTACTGCTGTTTCACAAAACAAATCTGGATGCATTAAATGGCAACAAAATGTTTGTAGAAAGAAGGCTGTAGGAGCTATAAAATAAAAAAATAAAATAATAAAGCTACAAACCTCAAGATAACTGGACCAACTCCCTCACCACAATTAATTTTCTCTGGATCTCCCTCTTCATCCTTTTCTTCTCCGTCTTCTACATCTTCTTCCTCCATCAGTATTAATGTCCAGAAAGGGTGGTCCAGCAACTCTGGCCAGTCCATCCTAAAGAACAAAAAAAGAAACTAACAACAAAACTAAACATTGAGAAGGAGACCGAAAAATGACCCTAAGCTCAACATGAAATGAAAACTAGCATTCTTAAGTAATTCAATGCTGAATTTAAGTAAATTTCATGGAAACGCTCTAGCTGTTAATAAAACTTTGTTAACAAAACTTTTTCTTAAGAGCGCAGCACAATAATATTGCCACAGTGTTAAGATAAAGAGATGGACTAACATCAGGAAATGTGTTTAATTTTGTTGGAGGTTCATGAACATTTAACTATCTAGACTGAGAAACATAGATAATATGCAACAGTAAGATCTATAGCAATTTGATGTCAAGCTAAAAATATAAGCTACCTTCAAGACAATCAAGGTACAAACTAAATTCTGTGCTATAATTTAAAAGTGACAGTATGGATGTTGTATTGTTTCCACCCATCCACCCATTTGCTATAAAGCGTATCCTCAAGGGCCACAGGGAGGCTGTTGTATTGTAATTGTAATCAAATCAAGTAGGCTACCCCAAGATTTCCAGCGTTGATGTGATGAAATGTTGTAAAATGTTGTGATGATAGTAGTAACAGCAGGAGCAGAATAGTGTGTGTGCTCGACCTGTGCGTGTGTCTATAAAACTGACCTCTCATCTGGGTTTTTGTTGAGCAAGGCTTTCAGAAGATTCTGAAAGTCATCACTGGGAGGACTGACTGAAAACACTAACAAAAAACAGAGAGGATATTTTTAATTAATTAAACAAACAGTAAGCATATGAGTGTGTGTATGAGAGAGTATGTATTACCTGTCTGTCTGGGAGGTGGTGGTTCCTGATATAAAATCATCTCTGTCAGTTCAGTGTAGCTATCAGAAAAGAATGGAGGTTTACCTGGAAAACAAAGTCAGCCTGGGTTTAGGTTTACAATACAGCACAGTAATGTATCCTATTTTTAATAACTGGTGTAATGTTTCACCTTTTTGCAGTTTAGTGTTTCAGAATATAGTCATCAGTTTTAGTAGTTTCATTATATTTCCTAATAAAGAATTGTCTTAATTATCATCATGAATTATAGGTGCCCGATATACAATAGTTTAAAAAGGAAAAACAAACATTCTTAAATGAATTTATACTCATGTGCACTTAATCATATTCAGCGTATGCATGTGTCAGCGTGCGTGTATATGTGGATACCAGTGTACATGTAGTAGAGTATACACCCTAGAGCCCAGAGATCAGAGCTTATATTGGTTTCTGATCCTTGCAAAACCTCTGGAGCACTGTAAGTTGGAGAACCTGAAAATATACATCATACACATATGGTAATGATGAAAGACAAAAATAGTACAAGAAGATATGAATCCTCATAATGAATAAAGATGTTCTGATGTTGAGCTTCGGTCAAATTGTAAATTTTTATGAGTTTTGTATTCTTGGTTACCATGTGGTAAATTGTGGAGTCTAATCAATATATTGGTTGATGTTAAACCAATAAATTAAATTACTGATGGTAAGTGGGATTCTTTATTATTTATTAGCATCGAATACAATTCCGCACTCAGCTTTTAGTCTCTGATGTGATCACCATGTCATAACAACAACTACTCCATCCCCTTGTTCCTCATGTCATTTTGAATTCACCCACACAAGTAATGTTTTTGTTATGACCTAAAATACATCTCCTGTTATTGCAAACCTGGGCATCTGGCCAGTAGTCTTCCCCTGAAGGCTTTTCCACCCTGTCTGTCACATAAAATCCTTGCTGTCTGTTCATGTGTTTCCCAGCTGCTAATTTGTTCCCCACAGCATATATAAGCTCAATTCAACTGAAATGCATCAAAAAGTTTTATATCTTTGGACTCCTCTTTGCTAATGTACTGGTTAGCTCCTCCATCAATCAATAATGCAATACACAGAGAGCCAACATGATTAAAAGATGGTCATCTGACCTTGTAATCTTTTCCTCATGTTGTCAAAGTTCTCTTTGCCATCTCCCTCCCCTGACTCCTCAGATGTAGAGATCTGGGTAAAGAAATCCTCCAGTGTCTCTCCCTCTGCCTTGGACAGACAGAAGTTACCAAACTTCAGGATGCCACTACCATCCAGTAGAATCTATGGGGATAAAGGGAGTGTTACTGTATCCATAAGATAATGATAATTATGCTGTTATACTGACAGTCTTACATACATGAATGCAAACCTTAGCAGGGGTCAAGTCTGAGAAAATGATTCCTAATTCATGGATGTGTTTCAGTCCTTTGACCAAGTCCCATCCAAATCTCCTCACTACATCTTCTGATAGACAACCATCCTGACTAATCACAGATTCCATGGAACCACCTAACGAAGATAAAAAATAAAAAAAAATGGAAAGACAGACAAGTGAGCAAGCATGAGAGAGAGAGAGAGAGAGAGAGAAAGAGACAAAGAAACTTACTTACATACTAACACCTGTTGCACTGTTTTAAAAACCAACAAACCCTCCCACAAATAAAAAAAAAAAAAACATGCCACTTGTAAGCTACAATAAGATGCATTTTTCACTTCCCATCATTTGATGGATGAAATATATGAGATAATTCCATTTGATGATGCATTACTGCTTATTAGGAGTGCCAGAAATAATTACTGACCTGTACAGAGCTCCATTACCAACCAAAGGTGGTTACTTGTTTCATACCACTCATAGAAGCATACTATGTTTGGATGATCCAAGTCATGGCTGAGACGAACCTAACAGGGAACAGAAACAAGGATTTACACATAAAGAGTAAGTATTCTTTATTAAAGGCTCAAAAGCTATGGTTTTTAAAATAAGTGATTGTAGTAAAGCTATTTTTCTGATGAGATCATACTTGTTTTAAGTAAATATAGCTCTTAATAATCTTTAAATCATTATTTCATGGTTGGTGATTTCGGGTCTCATCAGGCTGCATAAAACAATATTATTAGTAGAAAAAAAATGATTGAAAATGTGATAGATGTCTTAATAAGTTTATAAAGTTTTAAGCACTATCCTACATGGTTAGTGATCTCAGGTCTCTTGACTTTGTTGGTGCAGATGATGGCCACATAATTTAGATTGCCCTTCCTTCTTCCTTTATAGACAACAGAGCTACTGCCTGCCCCAAGCTCTTCATACAGGATAAAGTTCTCCATCCGCTGTGGAGAAGAAACATGAGGGTGAAAGTTACAATTATTAGAAATTTCAAGATTATTTCGTTATCAATGAGGAATAAAAGCAGAGAAATGTAAGACATAAAAAACAATTATACAGTAGTATCTTTTTATTATCTTAACTGTATCATAATTGTTGATGTCAGAACAAACATAATAGTTGAAATATTGTTAATAATTACAGACCATAGAATTTTTAAATTACCATTAAGCGAAAACGCATTAAAGTTGTTCTTTATATAGTTTGACATTGGCACTGGCCAACATCACTTACTTATAAATAAATAACACAAACCGCGGCATAAATGTATTCTATCAACACTCAAACAAACAAGTAAATACACGTAAATGAACTATACTGTAATTTGTTGTATATTCAAGGTACAATCGTCCTGTTGATGAACTAACATTTAGTATATTTATGTTACACAGCTGCAACATAAAATGGCTACCTGTAAAAATTACCAACTGACTACAATTATGGTTAATTAGCTACACCTGGTACATGGGCATGATTTGAGGGGGAAAACTGCAATACGCAGCTAACCATATAGGACTCTACAGTGCTACATAATTATATCAAATGAACTTTGAGTAGATAATTAACTTCTAAGTGGTGAAAATAATATTCAGCGTAAACTTAAACTGTCGAGTTTCAGGCAAACGGTTGGCCCTTAACTACGTGTGTGTTCTGACAACTGCTAACTTTATCGTCTATTTAGAAGCAGAGGCAGGCCGCTTGTAATAAAACAGCAGTTTACTGCAACACCGAAAAAGAAACGCAGTCAAAAGAAAACTTCATGGAGATGCACACAGTCTAAAAAAAAGTATAAATTCATATTGTGTTTGCGTTTCCTCAAACTTACTGTTACCTTACCTTCGAACTTGCCTCTTCAACGACGCGCTGTTTGTTGGCGGAAGAGTGGTGGGCCACGTAATTACAACTGGAAGAGGGAAGTCTGGAATTCCTCAGATAAAATTAGGACGACTTCTACTCACCAAAACCATAACATGTGTATAAAGAAGTGTATTTGTGTTTATAGAATGGTTCCATATACACGTGGTCCAAGCAAAACGTTGACTTACTATAAAACTAATATTCATTTTAACCGGGCCACCCCCAAATGGCATATTCCTGCGTTGCTAGGACACAAGACTGCACACAACAGACAGCTCACAAAGGAGAGCATGGGGTACAACATTTTGTCGCCATCAAAACTACTGTATGGAAGTTTTTTTTTTTTTTTTTTTTTTTTTTACACAACTGTTAGTCACAAGTTCCACAATTTACAAAATATACAAATTTTCCAATTTCTCAGATTTATTCACATTTTTGAAGCTCTTGGATTTATGGATTATTGGATTTATTGGATTTATTTTATTCCTTCAAAATTGAACTTTATTCATTCCTTTTCAAAAGCATGGACCTTCAGTGCCTTCAAATGACACTACATGTGTATGTTATGTTGCTCACCGTTTAATCTAAAAGCACTCCCACCCCTCCCTTTTACACACATATTCACACACACACACACACACACACTCACACACACACACACACACACACGCTATCTGAGAGTAGAATGACGTCATTCATTGAATGAGACCGGCAGTTGGATACAAGGCACCCGTGACATCCTGAATGGATTTTATGCAGTCTGCAATTGACGGAGTAGCATACTCATGTGCGGTTGAACGATTACAATCAACAGCCTTTAACGTTAAATCGGGTAAATTAGTTAAGTCTTCCGACTAAAGTCATTCATGAATGGGCCTAAATGTTCACCATAACCACATGGAAACGATATTAATCAACATTAGCCTATACAATTTATTTTTTGCCAATTATATAATAAACCCTGCACACAAACCCCAATAGAATATTATGTTTAACTAATAAAATATAAATAAAAAACAAATGGAAATGGAATTTTTTTTTTTTTCGATTTAAACTCCTTTAGGACAAATGGAAATAGGTTTTGGAAATAAATGACAGTTTAAAGTTGGGCTTGGTGCATGAGGATAGAAAAACAATGGACAAGGGACAGTGGAAATCCTCTCAGTACAAAGAATTTAAAATTAAAAACTTCCTATTCTGTAAGGTTATCTGAAAATGCTAAGAGCCCCATTTCCTCCAACAGAATTTTATTCTACAAAATAAAAGCAAAAATTAAATTCATTTAAATCAAATTCCCACTACATCTGCTTCTTACAACATTGTATAAATAATCAAATGACTGTAATGAACACAATTTTGAAAAGTAGGTGGTTTTAATGACAGGTGACAAATTTGCTTTGCTCTTTTTGTGTAATGATCATGCCACGCCCAGATGAGGCTACTCAATCAAGAATATCATATATAGAATTACACAAATAAATTTGTATCTTCCTTTCAACTCCAAAGATCTGAGCAGCAAAGCTACAGTCTTCCACCCTTAACCACTGAAGCAACTGTAACTTAGTATATTGTGTTAATTTCAGTGTGTTACTGTAAATGGATAGTAGATGATTGAAAAAAAAGGCTACTGTATCTACAATGATTCAAACGTTTCCTTGCCACCATCACACTATAATGTAATATTTACAAATTAGAAACTATTGTTATGAAAATGCCTCATGTAGGACATAGTGTTACCATGACACTGTGATGTGGTTTATTTCAGGTCATGGTTTTGTAATTTCTGACCAAGTTTTTCATATCTCACTTGACACACTGTCCTGTCAAGCAAGTTTGAAGACTACTTTTTAGGGTTTATGTGCAAACAAAACGGACCACTGGAATTTTATTCTGAAATTTGTGACACCGGATATTCCTCCGTATTTGTTCTACCTTGACTCAGCTCTCTTGAGCAGCTTTGTTTCTATCAAGTGAGTCTGCGTCTACCTTCAAAGGGGAGCAAAAAAAAAAAAATCTGTGAAGTTTTGCGAACAAGCCCAGGGCTGACCGAATCGCATCTACTGTATTCGCCCGTTCACTGGGCTTGTTTTTCGCCCACTAGCCGGCTGATACTCGCCTGCCGGTCGTATCGTAGACTTTCGGCTCTTTTTACATAGTCAGTTAGTGAGTAGAGTCGCACTGAGTGGACCGCGAGCAGTCTGTAGCTAGTCGCCTAAACAGAGAAAACGGAATTAATTCGTCTCTTCAGGGAAGTCTGAGCTGTCTACTGAAGTGGTAAGAAGTCTTTTGAGAGTTTGTGAGTTATATAGATTTAAAGTTTGATGGTAATATTGTGATACTGGAGCAGGTGCAGAATGCCACACGGTTTGGTAACTCTTGTAGCTTTTAAGAGTCATCACATGTTAACGCTTTAAACTATAACTTGATATTTGGGCTGTTTTTGACTGATCTATACCAGTAAAAGAGATATATTTTTCTTGTCGCCTTCATCTGCTGAGTATTTAAAGTGTCTGGCTCAGATGTGTATTAGATGGCTCATGTGAAGTCCCGGTTTTGCATGAGAATAATCAGCCTGTCTGATCTGTTGCCTCTGTTTTCTGGCCACGCTTTGTCCGACTCAGAAGTGAAAATGTTCAGCCTTTAGAGTTTGTCACAGCGGCTTGTGGGCACCTTTTAATAAGATTGATTTCAGATTTAGGTAGGCCTAATCCTATCGCAGTAAATCTGCCTCCACTCATTAAAAGTGACTGAAGTCCCCTCAGTCCCCATAAGCAGTCTGGCATATTATCACATCTACCTCTCAGAGACTGAGCAAACCATTTCCATTAATTCCAAGTGACATGAGGTTATTATTAGTTGCAACCCTGGTCAATTATTTTATTACCTATATGAATCAGATCTGAGTGTTTTTGTAAGTCAATTGCTTTTGCAAAGTGTGCCCTTCTTCACCATAGCAAAAAGTTACACATAGACCTATATCTCACACACTAAAAATATTAGTATAATATATTTTTCACTCAAAGAAAGCTGCAAACTCTATGATGCATTAATATTTTTTATGTCCCTACATGCACTGTTCACCCTTTAGTAGTAAGTATTGAGGAGTCAGTGATTTTCATTTACCTCAGCTGTACAGCTGAAGAGGAGGGTTTCTCAGCCAGTCCTGAGAAGCTAAATAAGGTTCCAGTTAGTTTTGCCAAGGAACAGCACATGATCTGTGGAAGGCCTGCATACTGTCTCTCTGCTTGGACACACAGCAAGCCTCACTGTTAACACAGAGACTTCTGGGAAAGTTCACACAACCAGGAGCCTGACCTAAAGAGATAGCTCCAATTTTCTGACAGATAGAGGGACTGACACATGGGTTGTAGGATTTGTCTGACCTCTGTCTCACTTCACTTCACTTCATGTACACACACACACACACACATACACACACACACACACACACACACACACACACACACACACATACACACACACAAACACACACACACACACACACACTAGTTGTGGCACATGATAAGTCAGACTTGTTTGATTGAATTGTGTATTTTCTGCTTTCCCCCCTGTCAGTGAGACTCAGGGAGTGAACAACATCAATTTATTTATGTTGGTCTTACATTCAACAAAATCCAAATGTTTTATTGAAATACTCATCAATATTGTTTCAGTAATGACAGTGTCTTGTATGTTTTACTCTGTAAGCACACAGATGTTCATGTAAAACTGATGACCTTGTTGGTAGAAATGTATTTGAAAGGACAGAAAAAGTCAAAGGTTGCTTTTATGAATGAGGACCTCCATATTAACTTCAAAGCTCTTTCACTGCACACTATCACTGAGAAGGAAACTTTATGGATTTATGGCTCACTGAGCTATAGAAAAAAACCAAAAAAATTATGATAAAAGGTTACTCACCCCAGACTACATTAACAGGGTTTAAATGAACATTATTTGCTCTGTTCCTCATTGAGGAGAGATTTTATCACTGGTTTCCTTTAGGATTGAATCGTATCTGCCTTATCATGACTTGACACTGTGACTGGACTGATATGTTGCCACACTAATACTAACTACTATTTATTCCATCAATAATAGTATTGGTATTTAAAAAAATAGCTGAGATTCACAGTGACTTTTATTCTGTCCTCAAGATTGTCACTTCTGTGGCACATTAATTCTACAAGCAGAACTACAAAGGAGTACTGACAAAAGCTCATATATAGCTACCTGCTTTTGGTTCTCAACGTCAAATCACTTAGCTGTCACACCATGTTCTATGTATGTATTAGCAAACGCGAATGAAGTTGATGTAGTGCCCCTAACTGGCAGGGTATTTCATAGCATACAATGTGGAACTACAACTACAAAAGATAAATGGAGCAATAAAGCACTTCTAAATGCACAAATTTATTTTCTCTCTAGCACAACACACGTCATCCCATAGGTGTTCAACTCAAACACTGCATGAAGGGATTTAAAGAATTTCAGAAAGGATGTCTCAACTTCCTTTGACTGATCATGTGACTTAACCAAAATTAAAAAGCAGCTTCCTGTTTCTCATCTTTCCTCAGCTTCTGTGAGGACAGCTGAACTGAGACTGAGAACTGAGTTTGTGTCCATGTGAGTAATGGTATCAGATCTCTTTTGTCGGACAACAAGATTGCTAGATTTTAGTTTGTAATAAGTTAAAGAATTTGTTGCCGTGTGCTTTGGAGAGTGCTCAGAGTGATAGGCTAATGAATAAATGAGGAAAAAGAGATGTGGTGGATGGCATTTTACGAACAGAAGAGATTTTCCCCTTTCAACACCCTGCTCCACTTACCATCAACCAGTCATGTCACTGAGAGCACAAGGATTAAAACATGCTTTAGTGATGTGATTAGCGAGACAGGACAGAGCAGGTCTGTTCTGTGGTTTAACTCAATCAAGATTTTTTAGAGTTGAGCTGAACAGAAAGGCATGGTCATAGTTAACCTTGTATCACATACTCC